TGCAACCAGGCTGGCAGGGGAGGGCAGTTAGGGGCAATCAAGCTGGCAGGGGAGGGCAGTTAGGGGAAACCAGGCTGGCAAAGGAGGGAAGTGAGGGGTGACTGGGCCAGCAGTGGAGGACAGTTGGGGGCAACCAGGTTGGCAGGGGAGGACATTTAGAGGTTATCAGGCCTGCAGGGGAGGGTGGTTGGGGGTGACCAGGCTGGCAAGGGAGGGCAGTTAGGGGTGACCAGGCTGGTAGGGGAGGGCAGTTAGGGACAATCAGGCTGGCAGTGGAGCAGTTAGGCGTCAATCAGTCTGGCAGGGGAGTGGTTAGAGGGTGATCAGGCTGGCAGGCAGACATAGTTAGGGGCAATCAGGCAGGCAGGCAGGCGAGCGGTTGGGAGCCAGCAGTCCCTGATTGTGAGAGGGATGTCTGACTGCCCATTTAGGCCCAATCCCAGTGGGCCTAACCTGGGATCGGGTGGGGATCCAGTGGGATCGGGCCTAAATGGGCAGTCGGACATCCATTGAGGGGTCGCAGATTGGAGAGGGTGCAGGCTGGACTGAGGGATAAACACCCCGGGCCCCGTGCACCAATTTCGTGCACCAGGCCTTTAGTACAAATATAAAAGAAATACAGTCAATAATATAATAACTCTGTATGGTATCAGATGGGTGCTTGAAATATTAGAAGGATCACTTTGTAAAATATGTGATTGTCTAACCACTAAAATGTACATCTGAAACTTATACAAAATAATATTGAATGCAAACTCTAACTTAAAAATAGTATTTATTTATTTTTATTATTATTTTGGGGGGTTTAGAGTCATTGATGAACTTTATTTCAACCTAATGCCTGAATACCCTTTCCAGGATTATCCATTTTATCTAGTGTTTTGATTTTTTTAAAAATAACACCAATGATGGAAAGCTCACTGCCTCTTCAGGGAAATCATTCCACTTTTATACAATGTTAATAGTTGTAAATATTTTCCTTATATTGGGCCCAAATAGGCCTTCCTGACCATTATTGCTGCATTAGTTCTGCCCTTGGAAGTCACCTTATATAAAGAAAGCACTCTTTTGTAAAATAGCCCTTGAAAAATGAAAAGACTGCATCATACTATTGCAAAAGAGAGATGTAATTTGTGTGCACAGCCTAGCTTGATAAGCACAGATTATACCTTTAAGAGATATTAGGTAATAAAAGACTTGGGACACATGTCTTCAAAATTGATGATCTGAGATATGGGCAAAAACTGCAGAGATTTAAAAAAAAGATGGAAGATTGGTGATTGATCTTAGTCTAATCAATGGCATTAAAATGGCAGAAAAAAGAATGTGCCAATAGAAGGGCATTGGACAGCATGAAATACAGAAATGTAGGGTCCAGTAAGTGGAATTAGCAATGTTCATTCAATCATGACCTGAATGTCATCTTTCTCAGCATCTGCCCCCCTCTCTTTGCTCTATTTTATGCTCAGCAAATAGCCCTTGTGATCAAATTGGTCTCTTTTTATATTTTCTCCTGAGAGAAACTAAGCATGGGCAGGCTCTAATCTATTTGTTTGAAGTATACTATAACTTTTAGATACTTAGAGCATGAAATAAATATGTGCTTACCCCAACCATGTAATTGACAACTAAAAACAATACAAAAAAGTGTACAAAACCTCTACAGAGTTCTGACTTTTCAATGAGGGTTTGAAAATGACTTTTCAATGAGGATTTTTGTGATGCTTTTGGAGGATAAATTCAGCTATGAAATTCTTTCCCCCAGTTAGCATATACCACAAAATATTCAAAGTTTAGAGCTATGCTGTCCAATATGGTAGTCACAAGGCACAAGTGATAATTTAACTTTAGATCTTAATTAATTAAAATTAAATACAGAGAACCTACACACAGAACTTAGAAGACAGAACTTAGAAGACAGAACCTACACAGAACCTAGAGACAGATATT